CTTGTCTTTACTTTAAAGTTCTTATTTTATAACACGTTATTAGCACGAGACTCTACCATTTTAAGTACTTACTTCGAATTTAATTTCTATTTCAGTGTTCATCTCTGATGTAAGGCGAAGCTCTTACGTCCGTGGTTGGATCTTGTTCATTCCGAGCATCATAAGGCTGAATATATCCTTGAGGTGGTAAATTTTTCTTCTTGGCAGTAGTGATGTAGATATCACTTACATCTGAAGTGGCAAAATTTTCGTAATTTAATTTGAGCCTTTTGCTTATAATTTAATATCTTTATCATCGCCTGCTTGGTTATGTGTTACGTATACAATACTTATTTTGGTATTTGTTTTCATCCTTATTATCTTAATAAAGGATTACAAAGTGGATAACATTGTTAGATCCATTTAAACTCCAGCAGAGTTTACAAGAAATATACAACTACTAGGAGTGATTATATTTTGTATATCTTATTGTAACTAAATTTTGTTAACCACCAGAAGTAGTATATGCCTATAATCATCAGAAGTGATAATTTAGGCTTTCTATGGTTACAATTGAAGATAAGTTAGATAAAATTTCTCTATATTACTTGCATGTCTCGATTTGCTCCTGAAGTAGCAATATCTTAAAAGAGGTTCTAAGCCGTCACACAATTTGGTGTGATTAATGCACGTTCAAATAATTATGTTCCGTTTCCTGAAGGATGAGAACTTTTGATAAATATTAATCCATTCCTGAAGTGAATGTGACAATATTAATAAAGCTCGTAAATATGAACACGCTTTTTGATGTGAATATATTACAATTCACCTCCAGAAGAGGTAATATGATTGAGGGAATATATACTCAATATTTCGTATTTTAAATTTGCTCCTGAAGAAGTAACACAATTGAAATTTTCTTCTGAAGCAGGAAAATATTATCAAACTGTGTCTTTATGTGCTTAAACAAAATAATAAGCTATTCAAAGTTATTTTTGAAGCACATTTTCATTCCTTGGAGTGCATGAAGAAATACCACAACTCACCTCCTGAAGAGGTATAATAGCAAAGGATATAAATCTTGTTTTTGTGGCATAAAGATCATTGTCGCACGTACCCGTTGTGCGTAAAATATCTTGAATTTTTTTATTAAATATCATTCCAAGGCAAAAGTATTCTTGTAGAATGCTTTCTACTACAACCACATTAATATGTTCTGGTTAGTTATCGAGTTTCTCGAAGGAAATAACAACTCATGTAATTTTGCCTGAAGGATGTAATGACTATGTGGTTACCGCTTTGATACAAAATATTCAGATGTTAATGGTGTTTCTCCCTGAAGGAGATATTTGTCACAAAGTTGGTGGTAAAAATACTGAAATTCTTAATTTCTTACATTTATAAAATTAGAATTGTCTTTATATTGTTAATTTGATTTTGATTTTCTCTCATGACACCAGAAGTGTCTGAGCACTATTTGGTAGTACAAAATTTATCAAAAGCTCCTGAAGAGCTAACTGTTTGTCTAGAAAACACATGATACAAGTAGTATCTGAATAATATTTGATTGTGAAAAATAAATTGAAGGCTCCCGAATAGCTTATATGCAAATTTGTCATTCATATTATATTATTGTGGTCAAAACACATGTTGTAGTAAACTTAAAGTTTACTAATACAAATGACAATCATACTGAGACTACAAATGATTGAAAGATTGAAAATCTTCATGTTTCCACAATCATAGGGGGTAAATATGTATGTGAGAAGTTACCTGCCTTATTCTTCAATTTGTACTACATCATGTATCACAGTAAACCAGAAGTTTACTAATGCAAAAACAGCTACAGTAAATCATAAATTTACTTATACAAACGTAGCCACAGTAAATCAGAAGTTTACTAATGCAAAAGTTTGTGACATAGTAAACCAGAAGTTTACTAAGAGATATCACATGCCATGATAAACTTGAATTTTTCATTTGCCATTTTTTGAGCTATTTGAGAATTCAGATAAGCATATACTGAAGAACTAGATGATTCTTCAAGAATTCTCTTGTGTTGCTTGTTCTCATAATAAATTGATTATACCAGCTAAAGTTGAGATTAAGATCCCTAGTTCTGAAATATACAAAAGGTGAGTATGGGCTCATTCACCTATCATGTGAACCACTTATAGATGCATATATGAGATGGTTACATGTGCGATTATTGTCAACCTGCAGTTTGGCATGTGAAATTATTTTTCTCAGTTATGAGAATAATTTTCAGATTATTAAATCAAGATAGTTCATCTTGATGATGTTGGTTTATATCCAAGCTGGTTTAACATTGAATAACTCCTATTAATGGTAAAACCATTGCTTATGAGAACAAAGCTTCATGCGTTGGTCCAAATTTTCTAAATTGCATATAATAGTACTTGTATGCATCAGACCAACAATATATGATAAATCCTCCCCTCACAATTGGTTTAGGATCAAAAACCAAATATTTTTACTATCTTTTGATGTGTAGTATATGATTAATTTCTCTACTATAATGCACAAAGATATGTTTTCCAAAGAAGGTTGGGAATATATGTTAGTTTTTCTAACATTTGGGGAATAGAATAAACAGTTGGAAAATATGCTATATGAATCGAATTATCATTAATATGATCATCACTTAGAAGATAGATCAAGTCAAATGCCAGAAGCAAGTGATGATCCAAAACCAAATATAATATTTCAGCTACAAATGCTTCTATTAAAATTAAAGTCCCAGAAGGATAGAATTTACTGTACGCATGAAGCGTGGTAGACCAATCAGTTCCAAAGGTAATAATTCTTGAAAAATGATAGGATCTAATGATCAAAATGATCATAATAAGAGGAAATAAGCTCTAGAGGAGCCCACGACATAACATTTCATGAAACTCCTAAAGAAGTTCAGGTACCTGAAAATAAAGAAAGTGATGAGATCTCAATAAGTTATGTCGCTTGCAAACTGATACAAAATAATCATCAACGATATATTTGATACAATATAGTGCACAATATTGTAAAATATTGTGAGGATCGGACCTGTAGTCCTGACACCTGAAGATGTCATGCCATTTAAATGCAAGTCATAACCTATATGACTCATTTGATTAAATCTCTATAAAGATCCTTGAAGGATTTAAAATGCTTGAAGCATATAATTCAAAGTCTCAGAAAATGTACTCGATCAAATTATAAAGATTTTTGTACGGTTTAAAGCAATTTGGGAGTATGTGGTATTATCGCCTCAGTGAATATTTGCTGAAAGAAAGTTACATATATAATGTTATTTGTCCATGTATTCAGAATTTGATATACTTGCTGTTTATGTTGATGACATAAATCTTGTTGGAACTCCAGAAGATCTCCAAAAGGCAATTGAATATCTTAAGAAAGAATTTGTGATGAAAGATCTTGGAAAGACAAAACTTTGTCTTGGTCCGCAAATTAAACATTTAGCATACGAGATCTTTATCCATCAATCTGCTTATACATCAAGGGTTTTAAAACGCTTTTACATGGACAAAGCGCACCCATTGAGTACACCAATGGTTGTTCGATCACTTGAAGTGGATAAGGATTTGTTCCGACCTCCAGAAGAGGATGATGAACTCCTTGGTCACGAAGTACCCTATCTCAATGCAATTGGTACACTAATATATCGTGCTAATGCTACAATGCCTGGCATAACATTTTCTGTTAATTTACTAGGAAGATATAGTTCTTTTCCTACACGGATTACGGATCCGTTCTTACCTCCAGAAGAGAATGATGAACTCCTTGGTCCAGATATACCCAAGTCTCTGCACTGTACTCTTTTTCCCTTGCTCAGATTTTTTTCCACTGGGTTTTTCCTGGTAAGGTTTTTAATGAGGCAGCTTGCAATGTATATTATTAGTGTACTCTTTTTCCTTGACTAGGATTTTTTCCCACGGGTTTTTTCCTAGTAAGGTTTTAACGAGGCACATAATAATGAACATCCAAGGAGGAGTATTTTGAAAATATTTTTGTGGATGACCATTTATTACTCCGCTGTAGATAATTTTCCTGAAGAAGATTATCCATTTAGTTCTCCATTGAAGTTTTCTACAAGTATGCAGCTGGTGCAGGCAGGTTGCAAACAACTCAATGAAATGACTTGTAGCAGCATCTTGGTTTGATGAGATTAATTTAAATCGATCTGAAATAGTGGTGGATAATATTCTCTACAAATTCAACTTTTGAGAAGATGATATACAAGATTGGAATGCGGAGACTCGAATATCTGAAACAAGGTTTTCATCAGGGGAGTAAAATACGCGATGCACTTTTTTAAGGTTTTTTCCCACGGGGTTTTCCTTATAAGGTTTTTAATGAGCCACCTAGCAATGCGTATTACTAAATATGTGTACTCTTTTTCCTTCACTAGGATTTTTTCTCACAGGGTTTTTCCTAGTAAGATTTTAATGAGGCACAATATCTTTTAATGAACATCCAAGGGGCAATGTTATAAATATATATTATATTATGGATCTTCATTTTGTACTCCTTGTAAATAAGCTTCCTGAAGAAGCTTATCCATATGGGACTCCGCCGTAAATATGTTTATCTATTTAGTACTCTATTGGAAATAAGCTTCTTGAAGAAGCTTATCACTTCGGTACCCGGTTATGAATAAACATTACCCCCGGTAGAAGATTATCCATATCTGGTATAATAGCAGCTTACACAGCAGCTTACACAACAGCTTCCTTTCTTCTATAAATAGAAGAGATTTCAGTTCATTATGTACATCAATTTGAATTCGAATAATATAACAGTTTCTCTCTATACTTATTTTTACTTTACGGTCTTTATTTTATAACAAAAAACATATTTTCGTGGCTCATTCAAAACTTTTTTTCCGGTTCTGGTAGACAAATGGAATCAAAGAAATTAGGCACTTTGAGGGAAAGAGTACAAAAAAAAAAAGTAGCAAAGGCAAATAAGTAACAACGCCCGTTGTAATTCGAATATAGTGGGAAAGAGAAACCCATGGGCGGTAGGTTTATTAGGGTATCATATTACTACTGTAATCTTCCTTGTATATATTGAAGCCGTTACACACACACACAGAGGCTACATTTTCTTGTAGGCTCCCAACATATCCCAAAACACATAGCTCTCTTTGGAGTCTTCTTGAGCCTTTCCTCGATAACTCCGCTTAATCCTCAAACTGTAAGGTTTTTCTTTAACTTTAAGCACTGTTCTTTGTCAAATTTACAAAAAAGCTCTTTTTTATTTATTTATAATTTTAAACTTATTGGTTATGGTTCTGGGCTTGTGTGGTTCCTGTAATAAATGTTTCGTGTCATACTTTGCATATGAGTTCTGATAATTGGGTTTGTCTTGTTCTTCTTTTGATTGTTGGAGTTGTCAATTTTTCCTTTACATTTCCTGGTGAATTTATTTTGGTATATGATTAAAGGTTGGATCTTGAGTGCTAGCTGGATTTTGGGTGGTTTCAAACTTTTCGTAATTCTTTCGATTCTAAATTCAGTTTGATGCCTTTCTTGTTGATAAGCTTGATTTCATGTTTAAACAAAATAACATGGAATTGAAACTCTTTGTGTTTTTTTTTTCCTTTTCATATTGTGTGTCAGCTGCATCTTTGTGTCTTCTCTTTCATTCACAGCCATTGGCCCTCAAAGGATGAGCTTTACATTTATTAGAAAAGCTGCATATATCTTAATGTAAACTTAGTTTATTTTATGGAGCTTCGAGTGAAGAGCAGAATGCCACTCGCTTGCTTCTTCTCATAATGCTCCAAACATTTAAATGCCTTGTTATCTTGAAATGGACAATTATGTATCCATTTCTTTCATTTTAGCACAGGCACACATTATTGAATGTCAATCTAGTTCTCTAATTTTTTGGGCTTGCAGATAGCAGGTCTATGTCAATCTATAGAGTTGTTAGTTAATAATTAGGTCTTCATATCGTATTTCACTGTTGTGTTAAACAAAACAGAAATGTCAACCCTAGTAATAACTTACTTTTCCACTTTTCATATGCAACATGAATTGGTGAAGGTAAAAAATCAAGTTTCGTTTGTCTTATCTTGAATTTGGATTCAATAGTTAAATACTTTGATTTAAACAGCGTGCGTTCTGCAGAGTGCATTGATCGAATTTGAGCATCAACAAGACATTATTTCTTGAACATTAGCACCTCTATCAATTCAATAATCTGTGTTCTGAGTAATTAAGCTGCTATCTTTTGTATCAGGTAAACATGTCAACTGTCAGACTTCCTGCCACCTGTGTGGTAAAAATTGCTCCTCAGACCCAAAGAAAGAGCGTTTTTGTAAAGAGCCCATCGTCTCTAGGGTCTGCGAGGAGCATTTCTAAAGCCTTTGGATTGAAAGCTAGCTGTGCCTTTAGAGCATCAGCATCAGCAGTGTACAAGGTCAAGTTGGTTTGTCCAGATGGTGTAGAGCATGAATTCGAGGCACCTTCGGATACTTACATCCTCGATGCAGCTGAGAATGCTGGAGTCGAACTCCCTTATTCTTGCAGGGCAGGTGCTTGCTCAACATGCGCTGGGAAGATTGTATCGGGATCTGTTGATCAATCTGATGGGTCTTTTCTGGATGATAATCAAATTGAGGAAGGCTATTTGCTCACCTGTGTTTCTTACCCATCATCAGATTGTGTGATTCATACTCACAAGGAATCTGATCTTTACTAGTAGTTATTTTTATGTCAAATAATGTCTATGGTCTTGCTTAAGCTGAAGCAGTTGGAAAATTGCTCTGTTTTTGAGAATGGTCAGCTGTAGAGTTCAATCAGGAACATATTGTGTTAAAATGATGTTTGTGCTTGTTTTAGCTCTTATTAGTGATATATGTTTCAGTTTGCTTAACAAATGTATCAGGTGTAGAGTTCAATCAGAAACAAGGGTCGTCTATGAAAGAAAGGATCATTAGAAATTGAAGCAAGCAGCAAGAGAGTTTTGAAATCAAGAACTTCATACACAAGCTCCAAATATTCATGCATTTCTAAAGAGGTTTCAAGTCAAGAAAGAAGGCAAATCAATAATCTAAAACGTTCTCAATAATACTTGTTTGCTCATGGCAACTAATAAGTTGTTTGCAGCAAGAATTTAACTTGAAGCGCATAATTCTTGATCTAGATCAAGAGGGAATTCTAGAGATTGTAACCTCCTATTTCCTCTAGTCTTATTTTTCACACAAAATTACAATAGGACAATTTAAGCCTTCCTCTCTCAGATATCCAATGTATTTCGCCAGAGGCGGACTCAGCTTTTCCATCCGATAATGTCACAAATAGCCCGGAGGCTGTTGGTATAGTAACCGAATTCACCGTTCAAAAATAATAGCCAGATTTACAAGTGGTCATTCAAAAATAGCCACAGTTTCAAAAGTAATCGAAATATAACTACTTTTCATGTAAAGGTAAATCTGAACGAAAACACTGTTCAAAATCCGGAAAAATATGCTGGTCCAACATAATATACTGAGGGGTGTTCATGCTTCGGTTTGGATCGGTTTTTCCCTAAAAAGAAACCAAACCAAGTAATTCGGTTTTTCAAATATTAGAACCAAACAAAACAAATTAAGTCGGTTTTTTCTCGATTCAGTTTATGTCGGTTTTTCGATTTTTTCGCTTATTTGTCGGTTTTTTCTTAAATATAAGATGTACACTACCAAACACACATTTCGGCGACCACATTTTCAACGTAACACTATCAAATTAATTGCCCTTTGAAAAATCTATTATTTACCAATATATATTGATGATAATTGAATCAAATAGTGATGAATAATTTAAGGACTCAATCAAAAATATATTGTTTTTTAACATGAAATAGATTCTTACTCTTAACAAAAAAAAAACTATCAATTAAACTAGAATGTAACGGTAAAGGACTGTACTAAAAGTGCAAACAATTAATATTTACTATAAAATTTTTAAAACTTTGTATAAAAGTATACATATATATAGGTGTAATAATAAATTTAAAATAACTACTCCTATATTCAGTTTGGTTCGATTTTTTTAATTAAAACCAAAACCAAACCAAATTTGATCGGTTTTTAAATTTCAAAACCAAAACCAAACCAAACCAAAAAGTATCGGGTTTTTTGGTCGGTTTGGTTTGGTTTTCGGTTTGGTTCGGATTTTCGAATTTTTATGAACACCCCTATATACTGGAGAGTGGAGTACCAGTGCTCCAATATCCAGTATATTATACTGGAACTTTTCACTTGTTGGAGTTCCAGCATAATATGCTGGAAGTTCATACACAAGTGCACCGATCTCCAGTATATTATGCTGGAGCTTTCCGTGTTACAATAAAATAATGGCTATTTTTCAATAACTTTACAAACGCTGGCTATTTTTGAATGACCAGTCCGAAAACTGACCAGCCCATCCTATCTTAACTGAAAAATCACCTTCTTTTGAGAAACTCACTAAGAAGATCAGCATCATCCATTTCAGCTACATAGTGGCGGACCATCATATGCAGTTGTATGCAATGGAGTTTCTACCAAATCTTTCTGATAAATATTTTTAAGAATTAATGTTTCTTTCTCGACAACAATTCTTCCATTTCTTGACGATGAACAATCTATACCAATAACAACAATGTATCAATCCCAAACAAGTTAGTCCGTGGTATGAATTTTACTTTTGAATATTAAACTTCATAGCAAGTGGTCATTTTTGAACTGCCCGTTGATCTAATTTTAAAAAAGACTCCCTGATAACGCCCAACTATGCCCTTTAAAGGACGAAGCGGTCGCTGCAAATATAATCCGATTTTAAGTCCGGAATCGAATCCTCAGGGAACTAACCTATCTATTACACTTTTCGGCAATGTTATTATCAACTCAATCAATCTCTAGATGCAAGTTTTTTGATCAATAAAGACTGGGTTTTTGTTTAACTACTTCAACTACTATTGAAAACAACAATAAGCTAAAACAAAGATAATTCAATGGTAAAAAGGTCTAGGGCAATGATTTCCCCAATTGCTAGTTTAGGTCTTGACTCTTCCGCTATAATCTCGCCGTAATACTCTATGAGGATTAAGAGTTAGGGGCTATCGTAATTATCTCTCGATCAACTACAATAATTTACTAGAGCATTCTCTTGAACTACTCTAGCTGACAATGAGTATGCAACTCTAAATTATCCCACCAAAGTTTTGTTATCTCTAAACCACTTTTAAGTTCAAGTAATGAATCTCTTCAGTTACCCAAAAGTGGTGTTGTTCAACAACTATCTAATCTAATATTCTTTCTCAAGCAATATAAGGTAATTAGACACGATTAATCAAGGGCCCATTCAATTAATCACCATACAAAACGTAGTTGAACAATCATATCGTAAATCCGGCTCGATTATAACAACTTGAGTCAAAACTTCAACCAACAATTGGTTCCATCAACCCTAGATAAGCGTTTAGCTACTCATAACAGAATAAGAGAGAACTACTGAATTGTTCATAATGTAAAATTGCAAGAATTAAAAGGAGATAGAAAAACTCTAATATTTGGTTGCTCTTCTCACACTTGTTCTTCCTTCAAAAGTAGTCTAAAATTAGCCCTTTTTTCAGTTGGGCGAGTTTCTAAAGCTTATAAGGGTTTTACAAAAGTTTTCCCGAAATTACACTTTGGTCCTCAAACTTCCAGTTGCGTGAACAGTTCACCGCGGTCGACCGCGGTGAACGCTGACCTTTCTGCCTCCCTTCATTAATCTGCCGCGGTTAGCCGCGGTGCCACCGCGGTCGCGGTGGCCTTCTTGCCCAGACCATTTATGCTTCTTTGTGTTCGGGTACTTTTCGAGTGGGCGTTTTTCTTCACATTATCGCCTCCAAAACACTCCATGTTGCTTCCTCTCATAATATTCCCTGCTAAATAAAAGAACACTATTTAGAGCATTTTGTTGGTAATTTATCTATAAAACAACAACAAAGTATGGTCATATTAAGGTGTAAATATCAACTATATAGCCTACTATCAACACCCCACACTTAAATCATTGCCAGTCCTCGAGCAATCCACCACACTCCATCAAAATTTCTTCCCTAAGCTTCTCCTGTAACAACTAACACCATGAACATTTTACAAAAATTTGCACCTAGTAGTGAACAACCTTTACCTAAAGAGTCAAACCTTTTGTACCATGCACATCCGCACTTACTCAAACTACTCTATACAAAAGTCAAGACTTACCGTTCCTTTGTGAATCACATGCCCTCACATCACACAAGAGACTAGTTCCACATATAACGATAATTAAAACAAGTAGGAACTGAGATAGACAAAATTCGCTCACTTTCAGAAAGAACGTTCACATGCCACAAAGATGCACCGTAGGCTTGCCCGTAGTGTAATACTTTACTAATTAAGCTCATTCAGTCTAAGATCAATATGACTTTACTTGGTTGTAATGTAGGCTAAGGGACAAGTAGAATATATTTAGATATAGTGACTAACCTCCCTAAGCACTTTTTAATACAATTACATCAACTTAAAGATCATAGTTGTGCCAACCAACACTCCACCTCATTTGTTTAAAACATCCCCTTCCATTAGGTACAATTTATACAAGCCACCACTTTTCAACCATTATGAATGTTTATAACCCATATTTTCCTTTTTTTTTGTGGTGCTTTTTCTTTTATGCTTCAAATTCCACATCCTTTCTCTATCTCAATGGTTCCACTCAAAAACCAAACCACCACCTCACACTTTTACTTATGCATATTTCCATTACCATTTAAGTGCTTATTGAGAGGTAAAAGGGTTCAAACGGCTAGCTATTCAAACAATTGGGTAAGGTTCGCAATGTGGTTGCCAAAGAAATAGGCTTATAGGTTCAACGGGGTTAACTACGATGTATTGCATTTAGGTGAGTTACTTTATATATCTGGCTCAACCAAGAATGCCTATATCACTTCTAAAACTGAAAGAAACTACTATTTCGCTTTGCAAACACACAAGGCAAGTTCTAGGCATCAAATATGAAACATGAAACACAGTAAAACTCATACACACATGGCACGTGACCCACTACGGATTTGGTTATCAAGACATTCTCTTTTGAGTATTCAAGTTAGATACAAACGTACAATTTTAAGGCGCTCTAACCGGATTTAACCAATGAAGCTAGGTGTTGAACTCTAGTGTCTATCGTGTTCAGGTGTAAAAAATCGATTTTCGCTCGTGGCCCATTAATCCTAACCTAAAACTAAATAGATCAAAAACAAAAACTACCCATACCCGGTTCAAGCTAAACCCTTGGAAAAGAACCGTGGCCCAAAGAAAAACCAAGGGGGAGTTACTACACCACTTAAAAATAAAATAAAAAATCTTTTTGGTCTTTTCTCTAGACTACTTCGCTCAAGAAAATTGTCTAACAGATCCGTCATCAGGAAGAGTCTCCATATTTCACATTTTTTTCTCGACATAGTCCCTCAAGAACCCCGCCGAAAGAGATCCGTCGTCGGGACAAGTCACTTACTATTTTAGCTTTCCTAATGACTATTACTCTACATGAAAACAATCAAAGCAAGACAAAACAAGCAAAATCAAACAGTCAATTATTACAATTACAAACATACAATGAAGTATCCCTACCCCACACTTAAAATGAAGACATGTCCCCATGGCTTAAAATTTAAAGAATGGTGAGGTTAAGGAACTTCCTTGAAGGCTCACTCCTGATCGGAGACAGTGTCTGGGTTCACGTTGCATGCACGTCCCAGCGCTCTCAACCAGCCCAAAAATTTCTTCTCCGATTTCACTTGCCTCTCGGCCACCGCATCAACACGGACACCCAAATCAGTGACTGAGGTACGCAACCCAACCATATCCTGCTCTAAAGCTGTCATACGGGTGCTCCGACATGGCTGTGATGGGCCTACCACATCAACTCTCGGAGGAGGGGGAACCTCAGCATCATCATCCGAATCATCATCAGAGTCATCAAAATGCACCACCAGATCTCGTCCAATTCTAATTTTTCTCGCCCAGAATGGGGCTTTTAATGGTAATCTCCCATCAACCCGAGGGTCTTCAGGGACTCGAGCAATACGACACAGCTGGGTGATCATCGAAGGGAAGTAGTGGCCCTTGGTTAGCTTAGGTGATCGAATGAACATCTCTTCATGAATGAGCCGGGCCACATCAAAATCACTATGGGACATAAAACAGTGGATTGCAGACGCCCGTGGTAGATTAACAT